ACGCAAGATTGCCTTTTCGATCAACTTTATACGATGGTAGTTGAAATTACAATTTCTTTTTAATTAATCAGGAAAGCACTCAAATGAGAAACTAGCTCGCGACACAGCCTGCCGCCGCTACGATGAAGTATCGGGCTCGCTGGCGTAAATCACAATCGCGAATAACAATTTCGAGTTTCGATAGTCTTGCGCGGCGCACCATTCACATCTCGAGTGAATCACGATCGTCTTTCCGTCTCTGTGTCTTGAGTTATTTATTGTCCGTTAAAACTTGGTGCAAAACTATACTTCCCTTGACGCGCTGAAGTCGTACGAGAGAAATGTCTTGAAAATAAACTGCATTTCTACACTATTTGATACATTCGAGGAGTCGAAAGACGTATAAAAATGATTACTGGAATATTGGAAGGACATAAAGATTTATAGTTGAATGTTATTGCACTCTCCGTTCATCTTTAAATCGCGTAATCATGAATTATGGATTGCATTATTGAATTCTTGCATGTCTTTCTGTCTTATTTTATTTATTATATAACTGTTAAAAATTTTATTATTTATAATATAATTTTGCATTATATTTAAGGAATAAATCAAAGTACGAAACATTGCACACCTTTTTGTCGCAAATATCACGTTTGAATTACAGAATGCATTAAATAACACATAAATGTAGAAATTTTTCTGGTCGAATTATTATATTCTCTACATTGATAAGGAGAAGGCTGGAGATTTGGAAATCTAAAAATTCGAAAAATTGGACTGATTGTGTAGTTTCGTTTATCTCGTTATTGAGTTGCACAAAATGCTGAGAACAGCTGCAGCCGTCACTTTCCGCTGCGATCAGCCGCGGTACGAGTGATAAGAACTATGATGGACGACCTGTTATTACCAAACGTCAGAAGGCACTGCGATTTCAACAAGAATTATTGCCAAATACTGCTCTAAAGTAACGATTTGGCTGTACGACTGACATACTGCGATTTTTTTGTCCAACATGGATTCTCTCTTATTTCTTACATTTTACATCATGCTAGAAGAATGAGCTATTTACAGCAAGGATTAAGTTCGTTCGCATTCCGAGTTTCTTATATAACTTTATACGTGAGAAATAGGTAAATTTGTTAATCTTTGATGTAAGTTGGCTGAAGCGAAGCAAGTTTCGCGATGCTGTAACTTTCTTTCGTATTTCTTTCAGTTATGTAAATCATATTTTGTAATGGGCAAGATAAAATTAAAACTTTCAGACTCGAATATTACGCTCACGTAGCTGTTTACATAATAACAATCCCCGCAGTGGAATCATTTTTTAGAACGGCGATTACGAAACATTTTGCCGTGTTGTGTTTACGTTATTAATTATTTGTTGAATTTAATTGTGGGTCTCTTCGAGAATAATCCTGGCCGCATCTCGTTGTTAAATTAATTAAATTTTGATACACTCATTATAATCGCTTGTACGACAACAATAATATTCCGGCGGAGATTACCACTCATGCAAATTTCGTTTGATGCATAATCCTCCAATTCCGTTGCAAAAAGACAGCGGCTTCCTCGTATCAATATTCCCTCCATGAGTGGTGGAATCGCAACCTTTTATGCGAGGATGTACCGCGGATCGGTGAAATAATTTTTTGCGCACGGGCTACGAAATAACTAGATTTATTAAAGTCGTCCCCGTCTTCGTATTACGCCCGGGCAGACTGTATAATTAATCGGCAGCCACGGGACGTGACAGAAAAATCGACGTTCCGTCGTCGTGACGGATGACGCCGTGCGGCTGCGATGGGAAAGCGGCTATATGTGAGTTATCCTATTAAATATTCAATTATTTTTGCCTTCCACTCCTGACGTCTGGAATTTGCTCGACGCGACGGCGTGCGCTGCACCGAGGCGCGACGCGCCGCGCCCCGGCGTGAGGCCGAGCTTAATCCCTATTCATAGACTCAATCGAGTGATTTCGAATAAATCCTTCCAGCGTTCCGCGAGATCCGCTGCAATTAAAATACTTTAATATCCTTTAGAGCACGTATCCGCTCCGGGCTATGCCTTCACTGCCCGCCAACCTTTTCCCCCAAACTCGCCGCTGCCGTTCATTCCCAATTTCTTTTCGGTACGCTCGCTCTTATTAAACGTCCCAATCCGCATGCCTGGAGAAAGCACGTTCGCTTCTCCCTCAAAGCGTTTCCTTTATGGGGAAAGCAAATTCGGACTCCCCCGATTCGCCGTATTGCAACGAATAGTCGCACGCGAATTTACAATATAGTTTCACAAAGCCGCGGGTTGCTTTGAGATTAACGAATGTTTAAGCGCTTAAGCCGGAACGAAGCGCGCCAACCTGCATTCTTGAACGCGCAACTCGCGATTATCTGACAATCAATGTATATGCGCTGGACATCTCGCAGCACGGCGTAACTTTCAAACAAAGAGCAAAGTAGAAACGGGAAAATAATTTATCACGATATCGTGTCGGACGATCTATCACGCCGATACGTTGCACGCAGAAACATTTTGCTAGAAGAAACGGGAGCGTCAGCTGTGTAAAATCGTTTGAGGGGAAGTCGATCTCTATACGATCATGTTCATTCGGGAGTGGTATACAACGCAAGGATATCAGGATTCGCATGATATATACAGAATATTTTTGAGGATGCTGTTCCGTGCTCGTAATTTCACCAACTGTCGGAAGCTTTTGTTTGAGTAAACAATTTCGGATTTTTCCAAATAAACGAAAAGAATTATTAAGAGATTCAAGATTATTTATAAAATAAACCCATAAAAACACGACAGGAAGCAAACCAAAAATGCAGATGTCAGAGCATCTGGAAAAGAGGCAGAGAAAAATACATATATATTATATACGTATAATGTGAATATCGATATCAGGAAAGTTCGCAAACTTATTTCTTTTACAAGTGATTGCTTTTAAAGTTCGATGTTATGATGCAAAATATATATCTTTTCTGTAAAACTACCACACGCTGAGGAAAAAAAAGAAGAGATATTTTGCAAACTTGTCAGATCTCGTATGTTAATGACGAATCAATACAGCCAAAAAAAAAAAGTTGCGTCATCATTTCTGCACAATACAATAGTTTTCTTTTGTTCACAACTTGAAGATACAAAATTCTTTACTCTACACACACCACGACCGTCTCAATCCACTTTGAATCGGTTTTGTTTGCTTGCCAGCCAAATTGCTCGAATCCCAGCCGAGCTTACCAGAAATGTCGTGCTTTTTGGACCAAGTCACGGCCCAGCTTTATTTCATGCGAAACGGCAAGGCGCGTCTCGCCGAGAGTTCGTCGGAAGCTGTATAGATACCGTTAACACAATCGTGTATGCTTTGGCACCGTTAGAGGCGAGCAGCCTCCTTAAGCAGCAGAATTGCCCACCGCCATCCCGCCCCGCGATTATGACCGGCCCATATAAAAGTTTCACCACGAAACTCCGTCTGGTGGTGATACGTGTGCAATCCTTTCTCCCCTCTCTTTCTC